CCTCCCCCATCCCCCATCTCCTCCTCCTCCTCCGCCTCCTCCTCCTCCTGCTCCTCCCCGCGCCATGGCTGGAGGTGCCCGAGCCGATCCAAGAGGAGGATTGGACATGTCACGGCATCGCTGGCTTCGGCGAAGCGTGTTTCCCACACGGGTCAGAGGAGGCGCCTACCTTTGTCTTCGGCGACGCCAGCGGGGGCAAGCCACGAGTCGGACTCGCAGTGGCGGTTTTCTCTGACCTGACCCACGACATGATGATCGAGATCGGCGTCTGGGGCGGCCTCCCAGGCACAGCTCAGACGGTGGCGAGAGGCGAGTTGTACGCCCTGTACCTCGCCGTGCGCGGCGGCAACGGTAGCATCGTCTTCGTCACGGACAACGCTGCTGTATGTTCAGGCTGGTACAATGGCCATTCCGCCACCCCGTCAGGTGAAAATGCAGATTTGTGGTTTCTCATTGGAGCTGTCTTGAAGGCCCGTGGCACCCAGTTGTCAGTCACAGTCATCTTTGTGCACTCGCATCAGGAAGCAATAGACATGTGCCAGAGTAGGACCCCTGTGCCTTTCATTATCGGAAATGCTGTTGCCGACGAGTTAGCGGGTGTAGCAGCGAGCTCCGTGCGTGTTAAGGCTGATGCACGTGCACGTCTGTATCGTACTGAACGCATGGCGTACCTTGTTCGGATGAGAATTCTCCTGAGCACGTTAGAAGCGATTGAGGCTGAGCAACAGTCTGAGGGCTCGGGGCCCCGTCTGAGGCACCCTGGACCTAGGCCCCCTGCCCCAATGGTCTGTAGTATGTTCAGCTCTCAGCATCAACTGTCTGTGTCAGGTCTTAGTTGTAATCGTTGCAAGGGGTCGACCTCTCAGGCCCAGAAGAAGGCCTGGCTGGACTCTCCGTGTTTCCCCCTTTCCACGGGCGATGGTGCAGTTTGGGAACCCCTACAGGGCAGCGGGTGCACGTTGGGGGGGATACGCCCATCCGTCTCACCGACTTAAATTTCATGCTGGACTGGGGGGTTGGTTTTGCACTACCTGTGGAAGCTTTGCAGCAGAGCAGCTGGCTAAGTTGTCCAGGGAATGTGACTACCTTTCTCGAATTCAACAGGTTTATGGCCCAAGCAATATAGCAAAGCTGAGCGAGCCAAGCGGGCCGCTGCGGGCAAGCCCGTTTAAGTTTGCTGTTTGGGGTCTGTATTAAGTAACCGGCATGGTCGCACTATCCGTAACTCCGTAACTCCTCCTGCTCCTCCTTCTCCTTCTCCTCCTCCTCTTATTATTGTTACTATGGCTACTATTACTAGTATCATTTGTCGTATCATTACTATTATGCTTAGTAGTAGCATTATTAGTAATAATATTATTAGTATTATTACTAGTGTTATTACTATTATTAGTATTATTCGTCATATTATTAATACTATTTATAGTATTCATTATTAGTATGATTCTTATCAGTAATAGTATTATTATTGGTATTATTGTGAGTAGTATGAGTATTATTATTATTATTATTATTATTATTTCTATTAAGATTAGTAGTAGTAGTGGTAGTGATACTATCATTATTAGTATTACTACTGCGATTATCTTTATTAGTATATTACTAGTAGTAGTATTGGTCGTATTATTACTATACGTATGCTTATTATTGTTATCAGTATGAACATTAGTATTGTTATTATGGCTATGAGTACTAGTATTACTACTATCATGAGTAATACTACGAATCCTGTGTATACTTATTAGTATCCTTATTCTTAGTCATAGTATAGGATTCCTTCTTCTCCTCCTCCTCTTTTTCCTCCCCCTCCCCCTCCTCCTCCACCTCCCCCTTCTCCTCCCCCTTCCTCCTCCCCCGCCTCCTCCCCCTCCTCCTCCCCCTCCTCCCCCCCTCCTCCTCCCCCCCACTCCCCCTCCCCCTCCCCCTTCTCTCCCCCCCCTTCTTCCTCATCGTCCTCCTCCTCCTCCTCGCGTACCTCGACCCTCTCCTTCCTCTGTTTGTTCTCCTCCTCCTCTTCCTCCTCTCCTCCTCCTCCTCCTCTCCTCCTCCTTTTCGTCCTCCCCCTCCCCTCCCCTCCCCTCCCCCTCCTCTCCTCCTCCTCCTCCTCCTCCTCCTCCTCCTCCTCCTCCCCTCCTCCTCCCCTCTCTCTCCTCCTCTTCCTCCCCTCATCCTCCTCCTCTCATCCTCCTCCTCCTCCTCCTCCTCCTCCTCCTCCCCTCCTCCTCCTCCCTCCCCCTCTTCCTCCCCCTCTCCTCCTCCTCCTCCTCCCTCCTCTCCTCCTCCTCCTCCTCCTCCTCCTCCCCCTCCTCCTCCCCCCTCAAGCAACTTGGGCCCGAGTTTGGGCCCGTCCCGTGGGCTTCCGAGGAGCGATTGAGGGACTTTGTCTGTTCCCCCCGCCAGGTCAGAACGTACACCGACTAACACACGGGAGAGCAATGGCTACTGCGCAGAAGCGATGGACCCGCTGTGAGAGTTGCAACAGGTGCGAGTGGAACACCATCCTTCGCCGTCAGAACCTCGTCTGCAGTGGTTGCAAATTCAAAGTCAAGTTGTTCCGCCCCAGGGGGCGTGTGCAGTTCGACGAGAGTCAAGACGAGGACGGGTTCTACGACGCAGACAGCGGCAATGAATCTGAATCTGCTTCGGGTCCTGGACAGCCACGTCCACCAGGCATACTGAGGCGGGCGCCGTCTCCGAACCGCACCAGCGGCAAGGGCTTCAAGGACGGCGGCGACGCGCAATACCACATCCGTCAGGCTCTGGCGGCGGTGACTGATCCAGTGGTGGAAAAGGACCTCGAGGCGCAGATCGCCAAGCTCAGCCAGGCGGCCGACAAGGAACCAGGGCTGGGCGTGGTCGAGGCTTTGCGCCGCGCGGACGGCGCCAAGCGCAATGCTGAGCATGTACACGAACAAGCAGTCGCGGCAGTAATTCGCATACGTAACAACCTGGCTGTTGCAGAGGCGAAGGAAGCTACGGCGGCCATCGATCTAGCCAAGGCTGTCGACGCCCGCAAGGTTGCGGTCATGGCAGTCACAGAGGCGGAGGGCCTCGGTGGCACTCCACAGGGCGTTGAGGAATGCGAAAAGAAGATCATCAATGTTGAGTGGGACGAGACGTTCTTTGGCAGCATCGACGGGCTCGACGCCACTCCCGAAGAAGGCAGTGCTGCTCACACTCGAGCAGCAGATCAAAGGCGCGCAGGCCCAATTCCAGGAGAAGGAGTCAGAGCTGCAGAAGTGGCTCGCAGACATGAAAGAACATCGGCGTATCATCGAGGACAAGGCTGCGAAGAAGCGCAAGGCGGAGAGCGGCGAGAAGCAGCAGGACGAGCAGCCGTCGGCCGAGGCCTCGAATGCTCAAGCAGCTGCGGGTGGAGCAGGTGCTGAGGGCTCCACGGGCCCCGCAGCGGCGGCAGCGGCCAGCCGGGCCACGTCGCCTTCCGAGGGCTCCGCCGCCAACGCCAACGACCAGCAGCGCATCGAGGTGGATGCCAAGAAGCTGTCGGAGGCCAAGTTTGCAGCGGCTGCCGTGGCAGCTAAGGCCAAAGGCAAGGGGGCGGCTGCATCGGCCACGGCGGCTGGAGGCGATCAATCACATTGACTAGGGGTAGCAGGTCAGCCTCGACCTGCACAAGTCGAGGCACATGGGCAGACATATGATATTACCAGGGTAGTTTATGCTAATATCACTTCGCTGTCTGGCAATGGGAAGGCGTGGAAGTACGTAGAAGCCAAGTCCAGAGAATACTCATATTTTGACCTGACGGAGACTCACGTTCACTTGAAGTCTGAGATCAAGAGTTTTGACAGCAGGAGTCGCCAGCTTCGACTTCGCTTGCATCACACCGCTGCACGACGCTCTGGCAAGCTCGTCAGCAAGAACAAGGTTGCCCGCTCAAACGAAGAGGGCGAGTTCTTCATTGCCCAGGCTCACCTTCAGGCTAGGAAGCTGGAGCAAACGTATGTTGCATCCAAGCATCTCCGAGACCCTCACCAAACAGCTTTGGATGGGTTTCTTCCGATGGTGCTGGAGTTTGCCCGTTATTCCCTCGTAGTTATCCTAATGTACGGACACCGATCCATTCAGATGCGCGGCAAGAACAGGTTGCGGTTCCAGAGGATCGGAGCCCTGGTCAAGGCGCTGAAGACGCCGTGGGCGCTGTGCGGGGACTTCAACATGACCCAAGAGGTTCTCTCCAAGGCAGTTTTCCCCCAGCAGCTGGACGCAGTCATCCGCGCTGCGGACGCGGAGGGGGCCTGCAGGCAGAAGAACGGCAAGCCAGACACCATGATCGATTATTTGGTATGCAGCCGCTCGTCTCTGCCATTCATTTCCGACATTTTGCCCACGCGCGCGGCCCCCTGGCGACCACGCATTGGGCTAGCAATGCAATTCAGGAGTTCAGGACTATCGTTGCAGACTCGAGTGCTGAATCTCCCGAGGAAGCTTCCTCAGGCAGCAAGGCCCAAGACGGAGTCCACGCCTGACTCCAAGTCTTCTCGAGCCAAGCTGGAGCGCGCTGTTGCCCGAGCCCCGGCCCAGGAAAAAACGGTCGCTGATGTGCGAAGCATTGTTTGGGGATTGCCACCCGCCTGTGGAGCGGCCGCGTGACCCCAACACTCCCGACGCGGCAGCGGTGTCAAATAAGAGGGAGTGCGAGGCCGCTGGCCATGATTTGGCTCTCCTGCTCGACGAGGAAGACCCGTGAGCTGATGAGCTTAATTTTTGTGGTTTGGACCCCGCCCACTCAACTGCTTTGGAGGCGTCTGTGGGGCTGTCGTCGTCGGGGCCGTCGGTTGGCGGTCTGTCTGGGGCCCCTGGGCTTGTCGGGGCTCTTCCTGGGGCTGGTGCTGGGCCCTCTCCTGGTGCGTCGGCCCCACAGCAGGTCATCGAGGGCTTGGGGGAGTCTAGGATGCACGTGCAGTCTGTTAATGCTAGGCCAGCGGTGCCTCAGGTTCCCACCCCCCCACTTAATTTGGGGCACCCCCGTCGTTAGATGGTAGTGGCAAGGCGTGCTCGAGATGTGACCCTGATGTGGCGGTCCCTGTCTGTTTTGCCATCCCAGGCGAGGTGTGGTCAAGTGCCGAGTGTGACGCTGGCGCTATGCCTTGTGAGTCGATGTGGGCCCCGGTATCGCCGCATCTTCGTGCCTCCGTAGCCTTTTTGGCTTAACCCTGCTGGGTGCTCATCGGTTTTCTATGTGTACGCCTCCTGGGCCACAGCGGCCGAGAACAGCATCTTGTCTCATCGCGGTCTACAGGTCACGCCTGGACCCTCGCGTGCAGAGGGGCCCAGTGTTTCAGTTCAGGCGTTGCGCCAAACGCTGCGCATTCGCGAATTGCCGCTGCGAGATCAGAGGAGCCAGTGGTGAACAAGAATTCACGCAGTTCTCAAAGGACATCAGGGCCACAGGCAGAGAGGCAACGGAGAGAAGCAGATTCAACCGTGTATCTCAGCGAAATTGTGCCTACACGGATCTCGTCCGACAGGGGCGCATTTACTGATCAAGGCTGAC